GACGATCGGCCATCGACGTCTGCGCGGGAAGCGTCGTCGCGGCCACTGCTTCGGTAGGCACGTCGGGAGCGACTTGAACGGCGATGACATGGGGCACCTCTGCGGGGGGCGCGGCAATCGCCGCTTGGATGGGCGCCTTCGTCATGACTGGCGGCGTCTCTTCGATGATCTCGCCTTCTTCTTCGCTGCTCATGCCATCGTAGCGCCCCATCTTGCCGTCGGTCGCGTCGGGGCCAATAGCTTCGTACTACGATATCCGAAATTCGAAGTAAAGAAAACACTGGTTTAAGTCAAACACTGTTTTAGAGCGAAACAAAGTTTCAAAGATCTCACGGACTCGCATGTCAGCTGATTGTGAGCAGGGAACCCGTCGGTATTCCAAAAGACCAAACGTCTCATGTCTCGGGTGTCATTCCACGAGACCACGAAGATATCTCAATGCTTCTCATCCTGGCATTTCGTTCAGCGTGTGTGGTGTGTTGCATATTAGGGTCGTCGACTACACTCTTCATTCGCCGACTAGGCACCATCTTTGCTGCAACGGAAGACGAAGCTGCATTGGAAGGACGAGACATGTGTTGAAAGAAGTGAGTTTCGAGACAATCCACACTCAGTGATCCACACTGGTTTATGTGAGGTTTTTGACGCATGGACAAGCGGCGAGCATGCGAAATGTCGTGCTCGGAAATGGACGACGAAGAGCTCTACGAGGGTTGTCAACTCAAAGATGATCCGTACGGCTCGTGCTTGCAGACCCAACACATCCATAGGCGTCAACGAGAGCATCAACCATGACACGCGTCGTGGCTGCGGTGGTGGGTTGTCTGGTTTGGACAGTGACATTGTTGCTCGTCAAGTTGCGCATTGTCGGGATGGGGTGTCTCATAGCTCACGAGCTTACGTGCTCGACGACCGGCGTAAGCTTTTGAAGCTTGGTTTGCCGACGCTTACCAAAGGATTTGCCGTCGTGAGCATCTGGTAATGGATGCAATGCCAATCCGATGAATGCAGCGGCAACAACCACCAGCACAACAAACCTCGACAGCCATCGACGAAATAGTGAGAGGGCTTTGTCCTTGCCATTCTGCTGCCTTGGCCATATGTAGCCTTCTCATATTCCCTGAGCGACGATCAAGAGAGCTATGTGTGTCGGCTGAACGCACCCGTCGAGCCGCTCCTTGACGACGACGATGACGAAAGCCTTGGATTTCCACATGCAAGCAAATCGCGACAAAGATATATTCCGAGCCTCCAGCGACGTCACTGGTAGCCGAGTCGACGTCTCTCAGCATTTCAGCATTTTGCTTGAGCGACCTCGCTGGTACAATGTCGACACTGCCGGTGCGATGGACGCTTCTCGCACTGGTCTGCCTCGTCGGCACCGCGGCTGACAGCACCATTGGCAACGTGCCCACCGACGCTGCGTACGGGCCCATCGACGCGGTTTACACGTGGGTCAATGGCTCCGACCCGCGCTGGCAACGTGACAAGGCCGCGTGGCATGCCAAGTGGCGGCGCGAGCACCATGAGCACTCCACGCTGACGACGTCGGACGACAACCGGTTCCGCGACAACGACGAGCTGCGGTACTCGATCCGGTCGCTGTACCAGTACGCGCCGTGGATCCGCCACGTCTACATCGTCACGGACGGCCAAGCGCCGGCATGGCTCGACCGCTCCAATCCCCACGTCAGCATTGTGCCGCACACGTCTATCTTTCGCAATGCGTCGCATTTACCAACGTTTGCGTCGCCGTCGATCGAAGCCAACCTCGATTGGATCCCGGGTCTCTCCGAGTACTTTTTATACCTGAACGACGACATGCTTCTCGGTGCGCCCGTGTCGCCCGACGACTTTATGAGTCGCAACGGTACACAAAACATCTACCTCGCGTGGAAGGCGCCAGCGTGCAGCCCCGACTGCGCCAACTGGATGCTCGGCGACGGCGTGTGCCACCGCGCTTGCAACACGGCTGCCTGTGGGATGGACCACGGCGACTGCACCTGTGCTTCACCACCTGTGGTATACCGCGCCGTCCGTCCTTCGAGTGTGTTTTGATGATGGATCATCGATGTAGGTGGCCGACGACTGGACACCGATTTGTTTGGAGGTTGAACAGCCTCGTAGCACTGGCTGCGCGCCGGGCTGCGACTGGAGATACCTCGGTGACGACCACTGCCAGGCGCACTGCAACGTGGCCGAGTGTGCCTTCGACGCTGGCGACTGCGACCCTGCCGCGCTTGATCTCTTGCCGCGCGTGGCATTCAACGCCTCGGTCGACGCCGCTGCCGTACTTTTGGACAACCACAGCCCGGTGCTAATTGTCGACGACGTGTTGTCGGTCGAAACCGAATCCAGCGCATTCGTCCAGCACGCGGCCGTCCTCCGCTCACGGCTCTTTCTCTTCTTCAATCGTACCGTGACCGAGACGATTGCCGAGGTATTCTTGACTTCGCGGGGCACGGCCACACAGACGCGACTGCATGTCGTGCCACACGGCGTTGCGCTGGGGACGCAAGGCTACGCCTTTACGCGCT